TAGTTTGCCACTGATTTAGGGTGACGATTATGATGACTTGCCCTAAGTTAATTATGGCCTCATTTCGAAGGTGTGGGAACTAAGGTTGGACGATTAGTTGTGTTGGCTATTTTGGTGCTTTTTATTCTAGGCTCGTGGTCCTACACAAACGCGTCGTCGTCCGTAGATAAATGGGGCAAAATTTCAAGCAGAATGTGCGACGGTGCCCGTCAATCACCGATCCCATTGCAATACGGCGAGGCCACGTACGCCCCCAACCTCTATCCAGTCAGCGTCTACCAGCTAGGCAGATTCAACAAATCGGAATACCTTTCCGTGACGAACAATGGCCACACGCGTATGCCTTTGACTTATTCTATATCCACTCTCTGCCACCCTGATAATGGGGAAATAGACGATTAGTCAATTTGATAGTGGTGTTCCTTATATAGGCTTTACAATAAACCTAGACCGTGATCATCACACGATTTGAGTTTAAAACAATCAGCCGGGCTTCAGCACTACACCTAACATCAGCCAGCATAATTTGTATATTAGAAAAACTAGCAGATTGAAAGAGTTAGCAGAAGGGCTTTTAAAGGAATTCCATGTAACACCAGAACAGCCTCAAACCACTGTCAATTCTCGTTGCACTTTAGTGATGGTGTTTTTCCCTTCTTGTTACTACTTTATGTCTCTAAACGGTCTTCGAGATGGGGAATTCTGCATTAAACAGTTTCACTTCCACTGGGGCACCGACTCCACCAGTGGCTCGGAGCACAGTCTTAACGGACGCTTCTTCCCCCTTGAGGTACGATCTAGTTGCTTCCATCTTTCTTCCTTCATTTGTAATTACCACCATGGTTTGTTTAAATCAGTCTAATTGACAGCCATACAGTCGAGTTTCGAGCAAGCGATAAAAGTCGTAGAAGTGTTTCAGCTACCTTCCTCATCTCTGATTACACCTAGCAATATTTTACATTAACACTTACGCTGTGTTCGTGGCTAAATATTAGCCATGTGTATTTATAGTAAACTTATAAAACAGCTGACATTTGAAGTGTAAATTATCCTACAAAATTGCCGCATGTTGGGATGATTTCCTGATAAACACGGCAATTTCACGCAATGCGCGTTGCTCCTCGTTGGTGTTTAGCAGCGAAAGATCAAATGTCAAGCCTTTAGTTGCGCATTGCGTCATGCGTTAGCATGTGCTAGGTTAATGGATGATCTACCGCAGTAAGAGTAAACTGTTGCAATCGCTATGATGTACAATCATAAGAAAGAATATCGCAGAGAGGTTAACATTAGCTGAAGCCGATTTTATTTACGTTTATTTCCGCGGAATATTATTTTGGTAAAAATTACGGTTTTTGCCACATAGACCGTCAACAACAAACCTGAACCCACAAGCAAGCATAAGTACCGGTGATATTTAAAAAGCACCGCCATTAAATGCCTGTTTTATTTTTGTGAAATTAATTTCACGAGATATTTCTAGTTAGTTGATTCTGTGATTCTGTGAGTGCTGAGTTAGTTTGACAGCAGTATCTATTAACACAAAAATCAATATGCAATGAATTAACAAACTAGGGGCATATTCATCGTTTCTTCTTCGAATCATTGGAAACAGATGCATATTGTGACGTACAACAAGCACCTCTACAACTCGATGTTAGAGGTATCGGACAAAGCCAACGGACTGGCTGTTGTGGCACTGTTTTTTGAGGAAAACGAGGACGTCGATTTGAAGGACACACAGCTCTTCAAGATGAGCGATTTCCTGCGTTCAGCTGAAGCT